TGAACCTATTTCCCAGCTTCACCAATTCCACAGCAGTACAATCCTGCATTGTGGTGATCTACCTTCTTTCAGGTGGACGCAAGTCTTGCAGGGCTACCCCCCTGGGTGTGGTTGGTCCTCTTTCATCTTGGTGGTGAACATTAGACATGCCGAGAGGATGGGAAACTCTATGGACTCATCCCAGTCGTCATCCTTTTCCCCACTAGATCTCTCCCCAGGGTCCCAGGACATAGTCATGATAGTCCTAACCCCATGTGGCAGTCAGTGACACTTAAAACAGGCTCCTCAACAAACCAGTGTCTCCATTCTGTCATCCTGTTCCCAGAGGTGGGACAGTGAGCTCTCCAACACTTCAGCCTGAGCTAATGTATCTCTTTCTAGTTGCAGCTCATCTTGTAACTGGTACACCCTTGCCTGTGCCACAGGCTTAGCCTTTGGGCACAGGAGTGACCAGCCAACTGTAGCTGCCACAACTTGGGTGTTTGACTTTCCCTTAGTTGGATCCACCCCCTGCAGCAGTTCTAGGACTTTTAGCATTTTGGGGGTATTCCCATACTCACCTGGTGGGCCCCACCCATCAAGGATAGTGGCTATCGGGCCCTACATACATGTGGACAGCCAGCCCAGGATTTCCCCTGTGGATTTCCTCTCCCCGATCCCATTGTCTTGGCATTCGTGGAATTTTCTCCAATCTTATGCTGGGCTAATTGTGTTAGATCCCTATTAATTCCAGTAGTGATGGCACTGTGTCTGAGAGGTGGAAGAGACCTGGAGCCAGTGAATGAGACATAGGGTTTATTGAGAACTTACATGCTGGGTGATCCAGGAGCAGTGGGCTGGACACAAAAACCAATTGCTACTGTGTGTAAAAAGCATGCAGATAGCATTTTCACTTAGCAGCCTCCTCCTAACAACCTCCATTTAACTTGAAACAAAGGGTCTTGGTCTTCTGTACAGCCTGCATTCCAAGAATGGGCCAGAGGTTCAGCTATTCAGATGTCCGTCATAGATAAGGAGCAAATCTCTGGGTTGGCCACTCCCACATTTGTTAGCTTGGAAGTCTGAACACACATTCTCCTTAGACCATATGGTCATTCTCAGGGTATGCTTGAGTTACTGCTGTGAGGTGCGTCTGTCATATGATACTATAAATCTTAAACCACTAAAATAAAAGAGTTGTAGCTAATCAATAAAGGAAGTAAAGTGGAATTATAAAAAATGATTAAAAATAAGGCAGGAAAAGAATATATAGGACAAATAGAAAACAGCAAAATAATAGACAAATTAATCATATTAATAATCACATTGACTATAAATGGTCTGAATGCTGTAATCAAAAGGCAGAAGCTGGTTGGATTGGCTAAAAAAAAAAAAAAGCAAGACCCAACTGCATACTGGAAAAGAGGAAACACATTAAATATAAAGAACCATATATGTTTAAAGCAGAAGAATGGAAAAAGATACGTCATGTTAATAGATCTGGAGTGGGTATATTAGTATCAAAGTAGATTACTGAGCAAAGGTTATTAGCAGAGATAAAGAATGTTATATCCTAATGATAAAGGGGCCAGTCCATCAAGAGGATGCAAGTTCTAAACATTTATGCACTTGACAGTGCTTCTGTATTAAGCAAAAAACTAATAGAGCTGCAAGGAGAAATAGGCAAATTCACAATTACCTTTGGTGTTTTTAATAATTTTCAGAACAATTAGGCAGTAAATCAGCAAGGATATAGTAGACTTGAATAACTATCAATCAACTTGATTCCATTATTTATAGAACAGTTCACCCAGCAGTTATATACGACATATTTTTTCAGTGTATGTGAAACATTTTCCAAGTTAGACTAAGCTGGCCGTAAAGCAGGTGTCAAGAGGATTCAAGTCATACAGAGTATGTTCTCTGATCACAGTGGAATTGATAGGAATCAGTATCAAAATATCCTTTGAAAACCCTCCAAATGTCAAAAAAACTAAATAGACTTTTTAGTAACCCTTGAATTAAAGAAGAAATCAAAAGGCAAATTAAGAAGTACTTTGAATGGAATCAAAAGGAAAACACAACCTATCAGAATTTGTAGGATGCATCTAAAGCAGTACTTAAAGAAAAGTGTGTAGTGCTATATTGGAAAGAAGAAACTTCTTAAATCACTGACCTCAGCTTCCACCTTAAGAAACTAGAGAAAGAGGAGCAAGTAAAGCCCAAAGTTAACAGAAGAATGGAAATAATAAAAATCAAAGCGGAAATCACTGCAATGAAATATAGAAAGCCAACAGAAACCAAGGAAACCAAAAGCTGGTCCTTTGAGAATTTCAGTAAAATTGACAGACCTTTAATCAAAATGATCAGAAAAAAAGAAGATACACATTACTAATGTCAAAAATGAGAAAGGTGATGTCATTACAGATATTAAAAGGATAATAGAATATTAGGAGCAACTTTTTGCCAATAAACTTGACAACATAGATGAAATGGACAAAGTCCTTAAAAGACACAAATTACCAAAGCTGACTCATGAAGATACAGGTAACTGGAAGAATCTCCTTTCTATGAAAGAAATTAGTATTAGAAACCTTTCAAATGGCTTTAGTTTTGTTTCTTTTCTTTTCTTTTCTTTTTTTTTCTTTGAGACAGAGTCTCACTCTGTCACCCAGGCTGGGGTGCAGTGGCACAATCAATGGTTTAAGCAATTCTCCTGCCTCAGCCTCCTTAGTAGCTGGGACTCCAGGTGGTACCACCACGCCTGACTAATTTTTGTATTTTTTTTTTTTTTAGTAGAGACGGGGTTTCACCATATTGACCAGGCTGGTCTAGACCTCCTGACCTCGTGATCCTCCCACTTTGGCCTCCCAAAGTATTGGGATTACAGGCATGAGCCACTGCACCTATCCCCCAAATGGCTTTCTTGGTGAGACATTTTACCAAACATTTAAGAAATAAATGCCAATTCTTCATGAACTCTTACTGAAATTTGAAGAGGGAATATTTCCCAGTTCTTTCTGTGAGGTCTGTATTACCATGATGGCAAAGTCGGACAAAGACATTACAAGAGAAAAGAATTACAGATCAGTGTCTCTCGTGAACATAGATACCTAAATTCTTTTTTTTTTTGAGACGGAGTTTCACTCTTGTTACCCAGGCTGGAGTGCAATGGCGCGATCTCGGCTCACCGCAACCTCCACCTCCTGGGTTCAGGCAATTCTCCTGCCTCAGTCTCCTGAGTAGCTGGGATTACAGGCACGTGCCACCATGCCCAGCTAATTTTTTGTATTTTTAGTAGAGACAAGGTTTCACTATGTTGACCAGGATGATCTCGATCTCTTGACCTCGTGATCTACCCGCCTCGGCCTCCCAAAGTGCTGGGATTACAGGCTTGAGCCACCGCGCCCGGCCTAGATACCTAAATTCTAAGAAAACTTTAGCAAATTGAATCCAACAATATATTAAAAGGATATGTAATAATTATGACCAATTTATATATCCTTTGATGCACAAAAAGCGTAGTACATAATAATCACAGTAATATGGGATTTATCCCAGAAGAGCGTGGTTGGTTTAACATTTGAAAATCGATGTAATTTATATCATTAAAGTTAAAAAAACAAACAAACAAACAAAAAACTATGTGATTGTCTCGGTTGAAGCAGGAAAAACATTTGTCAAACTCTAACATACATTCCTGATTTAAAAAAATATATATCCTCAAACTCAAGACGTGGAGAGTGGGAGGGAAGAGAATTTGGAGGCAGGGAGGCCAGGGAGGATGTTATTAACACACTGATGCTGGAGATGGGAGTAAAGGCAGTGGCAGTGGAGTGCAGGGGAGGAAAAGAACCTGAGTGACAAATTTCAGAGGTAGAATTGGCAGGACCTGGTGACTAATTACTATTGAAGGTTAGAGGAAAAAAGAGTTGAAAATAAAGATTTCAAAGCCTGAGTGTTCCGGCGGAGGTAACTGACACCTTAGAGAACACAGGAGGCACGATGTCTGCATATGAAGTGGATCAGTCCCGAGAGGAAAGAAGCGGGTGTAGGATAATTCAGTTTTGGATGAGCTGTGGGGAGATTTGTGGAGATGCCCTGTAAACAGCTGGAACCTGTGAAGAGAGACCTTGTTATTTTCTCCTGTGTGACACTTGTGTGTATGTAGCCAGAGAACCAGCTAGTCAGCAGCCTTGGTTTTAGTTTTGAGTCAACATGTGAGAATTTGTAAATATCTCTCCAAATTTTAGGCTGATTGGGAAAACTTGGGTCATGAAATAATTAGATCCTGTTGCTAGAGCTTAGTTTTTTTTTTTTTTTTTTTTTTTTTTTTTTTTTTTTTTTGTAGCTGGAGTCTTACTCGGTCACCCTGGCTTTAGTGCAGTGACATGATATTGACTCACTGCAACCTATGCCTACTGGATACATTTGAAAATCAATGTGATTTATATCATTAAAGTTAAAAAAAAGAAAGAAAGAAAGGAAAACTGTGTGATTATCTCAGTTGAAGCAGGAAAAACATTTGTCAAACTCTTAACATATATTCCTCAAGTGATTATCTTGTATCAGCCCCTTGACTGCCTGGGTTTACAGGAGCTCGCCATCACGTTGGGCTAGTGTGGTGTTTTTTTGTTTGTTTGTTTGTTTGTTTGTTTGTTTTTTTGGTGTTTACAGTAGAGACAGGGTTTTGCCATGTTGCCAGGCTGGTCTCAAACTTGTAACCTCAAGTGATCTCCTTGCCTCAACCTCCCAAAGTGCTGGGATTACAGTTGTGAGCTACCATGCTCAGCCTAGGGCTTAGTCTTTTAGGGCAGAAGGAAAATGAGGACTTCAGGTTGCTAAAGGCCATGCTGTGGGCAGCTAGGCCTGGCTGAGGATCAGTTGGACAGCAGTGAGGAGTCATGAGTGCTTGTTAGGAGGAGCAAGATGAAACTGATGCTGGAAAAGATGGGCATTTCTGGGGAAGGGTTGACGATAAGCTGTTGCACTACTTACCTCAGCTCTCATTTTCTCCACAGTGGCTGTAAACCTAGCTGAAGACACAGCGCATCCCAAACTCGTCTTCTCCCAGGAAGGGAGATATGTGAAAAATGTAGCATCAGCCAGTTCTTGGCCAGTGTTTTCTACAGCGTGGAACTTTGTCGCTGGATGGAGGAATCCTCAGAAGACCGCTCATGTAGAGAAATTTCAGCACTTACCCTGTGTTCTAGGGAAAAATGTTTTCACCTCAGGGAAACATTACTGGGAAATTGAGAGAAGAGATAGTCTGGAGGTTGCTGTTGGGGTGTGTCGGGAGGACGTCATGGGAATTACTGATCGTTCAAAAATGTCCCCAGATGTGGGAATCTGGGCAGTTTATTGGGAGTGCTGCTGGCTGCTGGCCCTTGACAGGCTTCCCTGGAAGTCCCACCCAGCAAGAGCCCGCTGTCCACCGGGTGGGGGTTTACCTGGATCGTGGGACTGGGAATGTCTCCTTCTACAGCGCTGTGGACGGAGTGCACCTGCACACGTTTTCTTGTTCTTCTGTCTCACGCCTCCGGCCATTTTTTTGGTTGAGTCCATTAGCATCTTTAGTCATTCCACCAGTGACTGATGGGAAATGAGGCTTTTCTTTTCATTTTTTTTTTTTTTTTGAGACGGAGTTTCGCTCTAGTTACCCAGGCTGGAGTGCAATGGCGCGATCTCGGCTCACCGCAACCTCCGCCTCCTGGGTTCAGGCAATTCTCCTGCCTCAGCCTCCTGAATAGCTGGGATTACAGGCACGTGCCACCATGCCCAGCTGAAATGAGGCTTTTCTTCCCCTGAGCAAAACTCCTTCTCTGTAGTCCAACTCAGGAACACACGTCCCTGGCCCTTTTCTGCCCATCATGTCTCTATCCTGGGTAGTCCATCTTCCGAATCTCCCTAATCGAGCCGTTCAGTATCTGCCCTTTGTGTGCTTCAGAAGAGGTAGTCCCATGGGAGGTGGTTCTGGCCAATGGAGATGGGACAGAAAGTTTTCCAAAGTGCTTTTGGGGAATCTTTTTGTAGCTTTTAAAGAGATATATGGGGAAGACATATGGATGTTAGCAGCCACATTGGAACTGAGAACACAGGAATGGTGGAAAGGTAGAAGAAACAGTCTTTGTTGCCATTCTTAAATTGTTGAAGTTTCCTTGATCTCAAGCTCCTTGTTAATATGAGATAATGATGCCCTTATTGTATAAGGCAGTTTCAGTTGTATTTGGTTACTTGCAGCCTGAAGTACCGTAACTGGCAGTAAAGGCACATAGTGTGAACAGCTCACAGTATAGGCTTATTTCACTTCTGTGAACTTTGACAAAGGCATAGAATCCTTTTCTATCCAGTTGAGCATTGCCTCTTTTTTCTAGTAACTACTGATTCCCCCACTTTTTAGTCTTAGAAAATTGTGGGAATCTCCCCCAGACATCAAGATCCATACTTGAGAAGGTTCTTCCAATATAGCTACCTGGAGCTCTCCAAGGACTGACCAGGGACGTTTCCAGGGCTCAAGGATTTCTGGACCTTTCTACGAGTTGTGGACCATGAGAGGGCAGGAGGGCCCAGGGAAGGTTTTCGTACTGCTGAATGTTTTCCAGAGCATATATTACAATCCTTCAGAGTGGTACACTAGACTTGAGTGGTTTTTTGAGTGATAAGGCATCAGTTGGTTGGAACAGCAGGAAAAGGCATTCCAGTCTGCCCCGCTGGGTATGGCAGCCCTCCCGGGAGGGGCCCACATCCTCCTCCTCCAGTCCTTATCCAGGGGCAAGAGGCAGACCAGCAGCTGGACTTAATCGCCCTGTGTCCCTTTGCTTCTGGCTGGTAGATGATGTCAACTTGCTGTCTTGGTTGCCAGACTCTGTACACTCTGTTTCTGTTGTGTAATCAGTTTGTGTATTTTTTCTGTATTTGTCTCCCCTGTCTTGCTCTTCCCCTGAAGAATCTTGTCTTCTCTTTGACCATCTCAAATTGAGAACCTCTAAACTATTCCTGCAGAACTGCCTGGCTGGCACCCACAAGCGATAACCTCTTATTCCAGCAGGACCAAGGGGCCAGCTTCCAGCGAGTGACTCCAGTAAGTGCAGCCACCTCTCCCGCAAGGGTCTGCGAGCCTGGCCCCAGCAAGAGACCCTCCAGACCTCTGGCTCTAGAAAGCTGAATGTGTACACTTTATGGATCACACGCTTTGCATTTCTGTGAGGCAATCTTGGCACACTGGGGCTAACCAGTGGCCTAGGTAATTTTTTGTTTCATGGACTATGGACTCTTTCAAAGGGATCTGATCCTTTTGAATTTTCCACAGCCCCTAGATATAATCCCTTTTGATAAAAGGGTCTTTGCTTCTGATTATAGGAGCACTGTGAACATCTGTAAATAGGTTTTTATAATCCATGTATAATTGGTGTACACTCAAATAAAACCAGTCCCTAGCAGCCACTGTTTTCTGTATCGGGCCATAATGGAATTCTGAAGAAATCTTGGGGAGAGAGGGAGAGTTGGAACAAATGTCTGTTCCTGGATACCAATCTGGTGCTCAGACCTTTAGACTCATTGTAAATTGCCACTGCCAACATGAGACCAAAGTGTGTGACTTGTCAATGCAGCGTGACAGCATTAAAGACTGATGTTACACCTCAAAAAAAAAAAGAAAAAATTGTGGGACTCTCCCCTCACTCTGCCCACGTTGCAGTCCCTCTTTCCCAACCATGTCTCTGCCCTCAACTATTAACTGTGCTGTGTATTTATCAAGTACCTATATTGTATGTGCAGGGTTATTCATGTCATCATGAGAATGTTGGAATGCTTGTTAAATACCTTTTGCTAGCCTCTTCATATACTATGGCATATGACTCTCATCACAACTCAGTGAGATGGAAAGAAAAATCCTATTTGTACAAATGAGGAAACCAAACTCTTTATAGAGTAACTAGCTCATTTTTGGCTAGCTGGTAAATGGCAGTGTTGGGATTAAAATCCAGATTTGTCTGAGATGAAGGCCCATGCCCCTATCTACTCTCCCTTTATTCAGAAGCTTTAACTGGATGTTGATCTTTGTTTCAGGTTTTGATTTTGTTACATATTTTTTTTTAATCCTATGTATGTTTTCCTCACTCTACCCTTCTGCTCTAGATTGTCTGGACTCAGGAGATTGTGGCAGTTACTGGATAGTTATTTTTAAAATAATGATTGCTTTTCTCATATAAAGTCGTGTACTTATTGTAGAAAGTTTATAAGATAAAAAAAGTATAAAAATTAAAGTTCTGTACTACTAACATTTTAATGTATTTTCTTCCAGATTTTCAATAAAGACTTTCAGGCAGCAATTTAATGAGGCTTTTTTTTTTTAAACTTATATTTTAGTTTCAGAGGAACACATGCAGGTTTATTCTATAGATCAATTGCATGTCACAGGGATTTGGTGTACATATTATTTCATTACCTCGGTAATAAGCTTAGTACCCAATAGGTACTTTTTCGATACCTTTTTCCACCCTTTACCTTCAAGTAGGCCCTGGTGTCTATTGTTCCCTACTTGTGTCCATGGATGCTCAAATTTAGCTTCCCCTTATAAGTAAGAACATGTAATGTTTGGTTTTCTGTTCCTGTGTTTGCTTAGGATAATGGCCTCCAGCTCCACTCATGTTACTGCAAAAAGACATGATCTCTTTTTTATGGCTGCATAGTATTCCATGGTGTATATGTACTACATTTTCTTTATCAAGTCTACTGTTGATGGGCATTTAGGTTGATTCCGTGTCTTTGCTATTGTGAATAGTGCTGCAATGAATATATAAATGCATATGCTTCTATAGTCGAATGATGCCTTTGGGTATTGGGCATATACCCAATAATGGGATTGCTGGGTTGAATGATAGTAGTGGGGATTCTTTTTTTTTTGTTTGTTTGTTTTTTTTTTTTTTTTTGAGACGGAGTTTCGCTCTTGTTACCCAGGCTGGAGTGCAATGGCGCGATCTCGGCTCACTGCAACCTCCACCTCCTGGGTTCAGGCAATTCTCCTGCCTCAGCCTCCTGAGTAGCTGGGATTACAGGCACGTGCCACCATGCCCAGCTAATTTTATGTATTTTTAGTAGAGACGGGGTTTCACCATGTTGACCAGGATGGTCTCGATCTCTCGACCTTGTGATCCACCCGCCTCGGCCTCCCAAAGTACTGGGATTACAGGCTTGAGCCACCGCGCCCGGCCAGTAGTGGGGATTCTTACACAACTTACAGCATCTTCTCTAACTCCCCTCCTCTGCTTATATCTCAGCCATCTTGTCTTCCTATTCAGCCCGAGCAGCCCCCTGATTCAACAATTTCTACTGAGTTCTCAACTTCCCAGGATAATTTGCTGTTACAGGTTGAATTATGTTCCCCAAAAAGATGTGTTGAAGTGCTACCTGTGAATATGACCTTATTTGGAATTAGGATGTTTGCAGATATAAACAAGGTAAGGTCATTTGGGTAGGCTCTAATTCAAATGACTGATGTCCTTATAAAAAGAAAGAAATTAATGTACACATTCACACACTCATGCCCACACACACAGAAAAATGCAAGATGGAAACAACATGAAAGAGGCTCTGGGAGATGGAGGCAGAGATTGGAGTTACGCTGTCACAAGCCAAGGAGTACCTGGGGCTACCAGAAACTGGGGAAGAGGAAGGTTGAACCCTTCCTTAGAAGCATGGCCCCATCAACATCTTGGTTTATGATTTCTAGCCGTGAAAACTGAGGTTTGACAATAAGTTTCAATAGTTTTAAGCCACCCAGTTTGTTATGGCCACCTTGGGAAATGAATATACTTGCCCGTCAGGACATCCTTGAGTGCCTGCTTTACATCCAATCCTTTGGAAACTCATTAGTGCCTTTCCTCTCTTCCTTCTGGCTGTTGAAATGTTGATTGATTCTACTACAAATTCTTGCTTTCTGCCTTCAAGTGGGCTCTTAGAGATGCATGGTAAACTTTTTCGTCACCCGACTTGTTTTTACATCTTTGGTGGCAATGATTCCAAACTTTTCCTCTTAAGCCTTCATGAGTCCCCCTTCATACAATTGCAAAGAACTTGCATTTTCAACTGAGAAAACAAAAATTCTTTACCCATCCTATTCTTCACAGTTCTTTGTTGCTGTGCTTGAGTCTTGATATTGACCCCTCTGGTCTCATCAGGTATGGGATGGGACCTAGGTATTCATTTTTATTTAAAAAACCAACAACAACAACAAAAACCATAAACTCTTTCCATGCTTCTTGATACACAAACAGGATTGAGAATAAACGGTCAGTTGTAAACCAAAAATCCTAAGCCTCCTGTCTGACTGAATGAACCCCCTCTTGGCTAAGGGGACTCCAGAGAAATCTAAAAAACAAATATCTGGCCATGATGGGCTGAGAAGTTAGACATGCCTCAGGTGCAATTCCTCCCTTTTGGAGTTTAGACAACAATTGCCCAGCATTAATATTAAGATAGAGACAACAGGATTAACAAAATGGGCTCTGTGACAATAAGATACCAAAGTATAAATAAGACCTAAGGCCACGAAGACCTTAAGTCACACACTCTTACAGGTCAGTCTGTTGCAGTGAATTAGCTAACAGACTTCCTGTCCTTCAGGAATGTCCTAGAAAGGGGCTGTAGTGCTGCAG